ATAAGCACATACTCAAAGCACCTAAGATTCCAGCCACAAGAGAGGGGCAACCTTTCGGCACAGACGTACAACAAACAAAACTCGAGACACAAAAGAGAGGCAATTCATGGGCGCATACAAAAAAAAATTAGATTCTAGCCACAAGAGAGGGGGGCAATACATAGGCACATACGTAAACACACACACAGGATTAGTTAGAGCCACAGGAGAAGGCAGAAGATTCGAGCCCCAGGAGAAGGCCAATCTATAGGAACAGACGGAAAAACAGATAACATTCGAGAGCCACAGGAGAAGGGTAGTTTATAGGCGCTTACGTAAAGCACGAAAGATTCAATCCACAGGAGACGGCCAGTCCATAGGCGCCACAGGAGGGAGCAAACCATAAGCACATGCGTAACACGCAAAGAATTTGAGTCACAGGAGAAGAGCAATCCAGAGGCACGTAAGTAAAACACATAGGATTCGAGCCACAGGGGGAAGCCAATATATAGGCACCTACGCAAAACACATTGGATTCGGGCCACCAGAGAAGGCGGTGTGAGGCCCTGGAAGCCCGGAGTCCAAAAATTCAACGAATCGACGCGAGGCCTGGGGGAGGGCCGCCGAAAGGCCAAAAAGTCCAAGAATCGACACGTATACAAATAAACTTCCGACGTTCCGTCCCGGAGCCTGGGGAGGCCTGGGGAGACACACAAGATTCCAGCCACAGGGTGGGGGCAATGTATAGGCACATACGTAAAACACCTCGGATTCGAGCATCAGGGAAAGGGCAATATATACAAATATATATAATATGTGTGTATACAGGCACACTACGTAAAACACACAAGATTCGAGCCGCAGGAGAAGGGCAATCTATAGGCACACACGTAAAAACGCATCATATCCAAGCCACAGGAGAAGGGCAATCTATAATATATAGGCACATACATTTAAAACAAATAGGGTTCGAGCCACAGGAGAGGGGCAAGATATAGAAACATACGCAAGACACGCAGGATTCGAGCCCCAGACGAGGAGCCATATATATATATAAATGTATATAAAGAACATACGTTACACACGTAAGACTCGAGCAACAGGAGAGGGGCAATATATTGGCACAGACGTAAACACACATAGGATTCGAGCCACAGGAAAAGGGCAATATATAGGAACAGACGTGAAACACGCAGGATTCGAGCCACAGGAGAGGGGCTATCCATAAGCTCTCACGTAAAACACGCGGGCTTCAAGCCCCAAGAAAGGAGTAATACATAGGAACATACGAAAAAAGAAAAGAAAACACATGGGATTCGAGCCACAGGAAAAGGCAACCGATAGGCACAGGTGTAAAACACACGGTATTCGAACCCCAGGAAAAAGGCATCTCATTTGAAAACGATCCAAAACTTGATAGCGAGTCACGCCTCTAAACTAAACCGAGCAAGAACCCCATGGTGAGCGCTGCCACACCTTGAAGCCGATCCAGAACACGTCAGGGAATCGCATCTCTGGACCACACCGAACCACCAAAACACCGTTGTGAGAGCTGACGGCAGGTTCCGGGCAGCGCTTCTGGACCAAATCGAACCCGAACACCATAATGATCGGGGATCCTCGACCCGGGCCAGTCCACACCCAGGTCAGTCTGGCCTTACAGAATCCTGCAAGATCCTGCAGCCAAGCCTGGGTCAGTGCGACCCTGGCCCTGCAGGAACATGCAAGATCCGGCGTTCTGGCTGACCCCCGTTTGCATTGACCCAGGCTGCTGCATTGAGCGTGCGACGCGTGTACATTAAGGGGCCCAGGGACACACGAAGAAATATACGCAGATCTGGAGAAACCCATAGTTTCCAGTGTATTCCTGATGTGGTTCGCCCCATCTCCCAGGGTTTTCCGTTTTATCATGGGGATCGACGTTTGTTGGTGCCGTCTCTTGAGCCCCGTAGTGAGCGCTGCTGGCAGAATTCCAGGCCACGCCGCCAGGCGACCCTGGGCCGCGCCACGGGGCCGGTGAGGCGCCTCCCCCCCTGCCCCACCCCCCCTCGAGGAGATGTTTCTGGCGAGAGGAGATCCCTTACCAGCCTCGAACTTACCCCTATCCCTAAGATCGACACGCCAGAAGGCGACGACAATCTTAGGGATGCGCCCTGAAAAACTCAGGGAGTCCCTAAGGTCGCCATCGTGATGGGGAGATGCCCAGCATAGGGGTAGGGATATGTTCCAGGCTGGTAAATCTCTGAACTATGTTAGAAGCCTCGAGCGAAACGCTGTTAGGGAACACCATGTGCTTTGCGACGACATCCGGATCAGGCGCGGGCACCCCGCGATCACTTCGATTGCCGACGACATGCTTCTGCACTCTTCCAGGGACGCTCTTTCCTCTGAGCTCTCATGCCCACTGCTCCACAAGATGCCGCATTTGCTCATCGGTGCCGGTGCTTTGCGCTCTCTGCAGGAGCTGCCGTTTTCACAGAATGCTCGGAACTTCGCTTTACCGGCCATCGCTCGGACGTCCATTCCCTGTGTTTTGTTCGGTCTCTTGCGTGCTCTTTCGCAGTATGACCCAGGAGGCTCCTTAATAGTCCCCGCCGAGAAAGGCTGCACACGTCCGAGCGATGCCAAGTCTAGGGGCATCCGCGATCATGAACTCCTTGGGGTCGGGGCCCCGGGCGCCTGGGGTCTGAATCGGTGCCCCGCAGCTGTCCATCCGACGACGGCAGTTCGGCGGCGCACCTGGCACGCTCTGCGCGCGTGGCGCGCGTGGCGGGCGTGGTGCGTCTGGAGTAAGGGTTAAGTCGGGCTTGTCCCCCTACAGGGGGATTGTGGACGAAAAATACAAAAAATAGTCGAAACATAAACCTAAAAGACTCGAAAATGGACAAAGAATCGTCCCCTGACTATTCTTTGGCTATTTTTGAAGATTCCTCCTGTAGAGGGACAGGCCCGACTTAATTGGACGAAAAATAAAAAATTGTCGAAAAATAAACCTAAATTACTCGAAGATGGACAAAAAAATCGTCCCCTGACTATTCTTTGACTATTTTTGAATACTCCTCCTGTAGAAGGGCAGGCCCGACTTGAAGCAAGAGGCACACCCGGCACCGGCGGAGCACGCGGGGCGCCTGTGGCGCGCCTGGCGCGCGTGGGCCTCCAGGGGTGCCTGGTGCACCCGGAAGCCGTGGCGCACACGGCACGCTTGGCGCCCCTAGGCGACATGCCGAGACTCGCTACGGCGGGTTCGCGTCGTGCCGACCCCGGCGTTGGTTCCTGACACCGCGCTGGATCGTTCAACCTTGAACGATCGGCCGTTTGCGAAACGTCCGATCGTTCAACATCGATCGATTCTGGGTCGCCGGCGGCGTTCAACCTTGAACGCCCACGCTGGGGTCGCCGCTGGTCGACACGACGCAAACCTACCGTAGGCGACATGCTGAGACTCGCTACCTGTGTTGGGGGGACGGGCGGAAGTGAGCCAGGCCATTTGCGTATGGGAGCATGGTATTGAGCACTGTTCCCTGTTCCTACGCACCACCTCCCCCCAGGCGACCTGCAGCCAGCCCGTCCCCATGACGGCTCCCCCTTCATCCCTGCCAAAAAACAATGAGAAATACACTTTGCCTCAAATCTGGAGCATGCACGGGCGCATCGCGACCACTTTGCGTTGGTTTTTGACGGGGACGGCCGGAAAGGACAAATAGTGCTTGCTGCCCGCAAGCCAACCAGCCCTGTCAACAAAACACGCACACATACACACACACACACACAGACAGTACACGTTGCCTCCAAATCTGGAGCATGCGCGGGCGCCTCGCGACGACTTTGCATTGGTCGTTGATAGGGACGACGGGGTGGGCCTCATACTGACTGCTGCGCGCAAGCCAACCATCCGTAATAAGAAAATGCAAAAATACACGTTGTCTCGGCCACTGGAGGACGTTGCATTGGTTTTTGACAAGGACGGCGGAGGTGCCCACGTAATGTTTGCTGCGCGCAGGCAAACAAACAATCCCTTCCAACTTACAATGCAAACTACACTTTGCTTCCTAATCTGGAGTATGCGCGGGCGCCCCGCGACCACTTCGTATTGGTTACTGCGAGGGGCACTCGGGTGCCACTTACGCGTTGGGAGGGCGGGTGGGAGCGAGCGAGACGGATTGTGCCTTGTGACCAGGAGGTGTCTTGACCCCTCCCCCTATGTACCCTCTGGCCTCCGGGGGTTGGTCGCGGGTCATTGGAGGGTCCCCCGTTACGCCCACCCTTCCCCTCCCGCTTACCGCCTCGCAAATGTTCTGCGCATGCGTGAGGGCTCGATTCGATCCCGAGGATTAGAGCAGCTGCAAAGCTCTCCCGTGGACGAAACGATCGAGCCTCATCGACAGTTTTACCCGACAGACACGAAACACCTGAGCTCGGCTTACTACTCCTCCTCCTCCTCCTCCTCCTCCTCCTCCTCCTCCTCCTCCTCTCCTCCTCCTCCTCCTCCTCCTCCTCCTCCTCCTCCTCTCCTCCTCCTCCTCCTCCTCCTCCTCCTCCTCCTCCTCCTCCTCCTCCTCCTCCTCCTCCTCCTCCTCCTCCTCCTCCTCCTCCTCCTCCTCCTCCTCCTCTCCTCCTCCTCCTCCTCCTCCTCCTCCTTCCTCCTCCTCCTCCTCCTCCTCCTCCTCCTCCTCCTCCTCCTCCTCCTCCTCCTCCTCCTCCTCCTCCTCCTCCTCCTCGCCTCCTCCTCCTCCCTCCTCCTCCTCCTCCTCCTCCTCCTCCTCCTCCTCCTCTCTCCTCCTCCTCCTCCTCCTCCTCCTCCTCCCTCCTCCTCCTCCTCCTCCTCCTCCTCCTCCTCCTCCTCCTCCTCCGTCCCTCCTCCTCCTCCTCCTCCTCCGCCTCCTCCCCTCCTCCTCCTCCCTCCTCCTCCTCCTCCTCCTCCTCCTCCTCCTCCTCCTCCTCCTCCTCCTCCTCCTCCTCCTCCTCCTCCTCCTCCCTCCTCCTCCTCCTCCTCCTCCTCCTCCTCCTCCTCCCCGTCCCGC